TGTGTGTGTGTGTGTGTGTGTGTGTGTGTGTGTGTGTGTGTGTGTAAGTATTGATGCAAACAAAGCGTTCAGTACATTGCCTGGTCCATGCATTGTAAGTTTTTGGCAAACTTATCCAGCAGCACCATTTTAATATCAATTACCAGTCAACAGATAAGTAGATTATGTCTGGTTGATAGTTCAGTTATGAGTCTGACAGTTTTAACCAAGGGTGTTGCTTTGCTGGGATCCAAAACTTTCTCAGTATTTTGTAGATTTTCTTTGGCAAAGTACTTCTATATGTTTCCTTGTCTGTGTCCAGGTTGGTTGGTTGTTTCTAGGATAAATTTATTAGAAGGAGGGGCTTCAAGGAAGGTGGGATTTGAGTATTCACTGTTCACTCTGAAGGGGGTACCATTTATAGAACCTGTTCTGGAATTCAGTCCAGCTCTCCTTTTCAATCATGACCTTGAAAAACTATACTCACCCAACAAACCTCATCAATATGGGCTATGGATGAGCAACCTCTTTTCACATCAATTGCAGCTGGGCACAGACTTAAGCCAAGATTTATTTCCCTGCTTGACACAGCATATTTCTCTCCATGTCTCCCAATTAATTTCAGTCTTCATGATTTCTTTAACAAGACTAAGGATTCTTTCTAAAAATAAAAATGGAACCATAATAACCCTCTATCACCCAGTGTCATAAATGGTGATTGTATGTCTTTAGTGTAATTGAACAATGGGATATGGGAGTTGGAGATTTCAATTATGTTAGCACCCCTTTATGCATCCATTTGATTGATTTGCTTTTAAAATGTGATTGTAAAATATTCCCTTGTCTCACAGGCAAGACTCGGAAAGCGAGCCTCCTATCTGCCAAGTCATCCACCGAGCCCAACTTAAAGTCTTTCAGCAGAAACCAGTTGGGCAACTATCCAACGTTGCCTTTAATGAAGTCTGGGGATGCACTGAAGCAGGGACAGGAGGAGGGCAGGCTGGGTGGTGGCGTCGCCCCAGATACATCCAAGAGCTGTGACCCACCTGGGGTGACTGGTTTGAATAAAAACCGAAGAAGCCTCCCAGTTTCCATCTGCAGGAGCTGTGAGACCCTGGAGGGCCCCCAGACTGTGGACACCTGGCCCCGATCCCATTCCCTGGATGACCTTCAAGCAGAGCCTGGCGCTGAGCAAGACATGCCTACCGAGGTGACAGAACCGCCCCCTCAGATTGTACCCGAAGTGCCACAGAAGACGAGCGCCCCTACCACAAAGGCCCAGCCCCCAGAGCGAGACTCTGCCGCTGACAATGCATTGCTACTGACCCAAAGCAAGAGATTTTCCGAACCTCAGAAATTGACAACTAAGAAACTGGAGGGCTCAATCACAGACTCTGCTCATGGCCCGTCACCCCCTCAGTGTTTGCCCAGAAACTATGACGCTCAGCCCCCCGGAGCTAAACATGGTGTAGCAAGGACACCTCTGGAGGGCCACAAAAAAGGACATGAGTTTGAAGGAACACACCATCCCCTGGGCACCAAAGAAGGGGTTGATGCTGAGCAGAGGGTCCCTGAGATAAGAACACAGCCAAAAATTCCATCACAGCCTCCACCTGTTCCTGTTAAAAAGAGCAGAGAACGCCTCGCTAACGGACTCCACCCTGTCCCCGTGGGCCCTGGTGGGACCCACCCCAGTCCCGATGCACCATGCCTGCCTGTGAAAAGGGGCAGCCCTGCCAGCCCCACCAGCCCCAGCAACTGTCCCCCAGCACTGGCTCCCAGGCCTCTCTCAGGGCAGGCGCCTGGCAGCCCACCAAGCACAAGGCCGCCCCCCTGGCTCTCAGAGCTCCCTGAGAACACGAGCCTCCAGGAGCATGGTGTAAAGCTGGGCCCGGCTTTGACCAGGAAGGTCTCCTGCGCCCGGGGAGTGGATCTGGAAATGCTCACCGAAAACAAGCTGCACGCCGAAGGCATCGATCTCACGGAGGAGCCCTATTCTGATAAGGTATCTGGGCCCACCACGTTCTCAGGCCTTTGTTTGTAGAAGTCAGGCAGCCAGGTGCGATGAGCCCACAGCTGCCCCTGAAGCCAGCCCAGTAGCATGGGCAGCTCTGAGAGGGTGGAATGAATGATCCATAGCCAGCAGCTTCTGATGAGGGAACGCAGGCTCCAGATTAAATGCAAATACAGCCTCTCTGGAGTTTTCTTTGTTTTGCTCTTACTTGTTTCCTTTTAGTTTTTGGCAGCTATACTTCGCAGGGAGAATGATTAGTGCCAAAACTGGCTTCTGAAAAGGACGATTTAGCAGACAGGGGACACCTGAATCCATGTGTCCACACCTTACTGGACATTCATGTGTTCAGATACTGACACCTACCATTTCATCTCTCCGTAGGTAAACTGAGGTTAAAAATAACCTGCGTGAAGACCTCTTAGAGGGATTACTGGGAGCAAATAAAATAAATGTGAACATACTTGGAAAATTATAGAACCCTATTCAGATGTGATCATTGGATTATACAGTTATCTGTATGGGTAATGGGAAAAAGATAATATAAAATCCCCCATTGTACCAAAAACATTTAGCTCTGTAATGAACAATTACTTCTCATTAAAAAAAAAAAAAATGAGGTCTACCAATACCAAGTGACTCCGAAGACAAAGCAATGTTAACAGATGCAGTGGTACTTTACTGCAGGAAATACAGGCCCTGTTATGATGCATTGCTGAGTCCTTTATTATAAAATTCTCATGACAATGAATGCCTTCGAATAAGATCCTCGTCCACCTCCCTGAGCCTCCTTGATGTTTCATGAGTAAATCTCTTTTTTGTTTGAGACGGAGTCTCACTCTGTTGCCAGGCTGGAGTATAGTGGTGTGATCTCGGCTCACTGCAACCTCTGCCTCCTGGGTTCAAGGGATGCTCCTGACTCAGCCTCCCCAGTAGCTGGGACTATAGGCGCCCGCCACTACGCCCAGCTACTTTTTGTATTTTTTGTAGAGACGAAGTTTTACCATGTTGGCCCGGATGATCTCGATCTCTTGACCTCGTGATCCACCCGCCTCTGCTGTCTCAAGTGCTGGTATTACAGGCATGAGCCACCGTGCCCGGCCAAGATTTCATGAGTAAATCTCTTTAAATAAAAAGTAAAGAGAATACCAGACAGTAAATGCTGGGTTAGTGAGCTGGCAGTATAACTTGTAGCAGATGAAGTGCAAACAGTTGAATGTCTGTAAAGTAGAAGTTAGCCCTTCTCTCCTGCAGTTTAGAAGACTATCTTCAATAGCATTGGAGGAATTCTATTTTGCAAAATGATCCGATTGAGTGAGGTGAGGGCATTGGCCGGAAAAGTGTAGGATAATTGTATTCTGCCTTAACTATGCTTCCAAACATTTTCCTAGAGCTCAATAGTGCAAGACAAAGATGTAAAAGTATTCCCTCTAAAGCATCCATCCTGACTCATAAAGAAAATATATTCATTTTAGATGAAAACTTTTGGTTTGGGGGCAGTGGCTTACTCCTGGAATCCCAACAGTTTGGGAGGCCAAGGCGGGAAGATCACTTGAGCCCAGGAGTTTGAGGCTGCAGTGAGCCATGATCACAGTACTGCACTCAACCTAAGTGACAAGAGCGAGACCCTACGTGATGTTTGGTGTATCTTAGGGAAAGGGAAAAAAAAAAACCTTATAACCCTTGATGCCACATTTCTGTTCTCCCTGGCAGCATGGCCGCTGTGGGATTCCTGAAGCCCTGGTGCAGAGATACGCAGAGGACTTGGATCAGCCCGAGAGGGACGTCGCCACCAACATGGACCAAATCCGGGTGAAGCAGCTTCGGAAGCAGCACCGAATGGCGGTGAGCAGCCCACAGTTCCCCGGCTTCCTGAGGCACAGTTAGTTACCACACTTAGTGATGAGCATACTGACAGCTGCCAAGTAGGCAAGGGCTTGTGTAGCTATGGAAAGGAGACCGCTGGGGAGAAAGCAATACATGGGTCAGCCTGGAAATGTTTAAAAATAAACTTTCAGAAAGAAAAAAAGAAAAAGATAATTATCCATAATCCCAACACTGTGAAAAACATTTTAAAGATTAGCCTAGTGCTAGGCGTGATGGTGCACACCTGTAATCCTAGATACTCGGGAGGCAGAGCAGGAAGATTGCTTGAGCCCAGAATTTTGATGCCAGCTTGGGCACCATAGCAAGATCCCATCTCTTAAGAAATAAAATCCGTCTGAATGACACAAAGTGTCAGTTAGAAGCATAACTTCAAGAGATCTATTCAACATGGTGACTCCAATTAATAACAATGTATACTTGAAAATTGCTAGGACAGTAGATTTTAAGTGTTCTTACCCCAAAAAATAGTATGTGAGGCAATCCATGGGTTATGTAGCTTGATTTAGCCATTCCACAATGTGTACATTTATCAAAACATCATGTTTTAAACCATAAATACACACAATTTTTACTTGTCCATTAAAACTCTTGTCTAATCGTTTCTCTGTACACGAATAATAGTAAATGTACAGTATTGAAACCTGATTGTTTGCTGTTATCACATCATTAGTCTGTTTCTTTGTTACTAAAAAAATTTGTTGATATTATCAATACAGTAGTCTCCCCATATCCATGAGGGATATGGTCCAAGACCTCCAAGTGGATCTCTTGAAAGCCTAAAGAGTACCAAACCCTGAATATATTATAAACACATTTCTTTTCCCTTTTTCACAATTTCACGGATAGAAGATTTGTTTTCACCGTAGATCTTAGGGACGTCAGCATATAATTTTTTTTCTTTTCTTATTAAGCCAAGAACTTTCACCTTTTTACTTAAAGGAAGCACTTAATGGCTTCTCTTTGCCACGTTCCAAATGGCCAGCATCACGACTCCTGCACTTTGGGGCCATTATGAGGTCAAATAAGAGTGACTTGAACGCAAGCACCACAGTACCGCGACAGCTGATCTGATGACTCGGGGCCCCTAAGTGACCGAGGGACGGTAGTGTAGACGGTGTGGATCCGCTGGACAAAGGGAGGGTGGCCCCATGTGGGACAGAGCTGGATGGTGTGAGAGTCCATCACACAACTCAGAATGGCATACAGCGTTAGACTTACGAATTGTTTACCTCCGAATTTCCCATTTACTATTTCAGGCTGTAGAAAGAACACTGTGGACAAGGGGGATGCTATTGTATTTCAGAGTATTGTGGTAGGTGAATGTACTCTGGCAGTCAGTCTCGTAGTTCAAACATTTAGATTTTCCCAGCCTTTTACATCCTTACGAATAAATCTTTGTAGACTTTCATGGTTAATTTCTGAGGATATATTCCTTGAAAAGGGTTTGCTTCATGAAAACTATATAAAATCCCAAAGATTTTCACTCTTGTTAGCAAATCACCTTTCTGAAAGGTGTAGGCCCTGTATATGCTCAGTAGTCAGGGTTAAATGTCCATTTCCCTGTTCCAGCCAATCCTGATATTACTGTAGTTTAAGTTCTTTATAACTGTATTGACTAAATATTTAATTTTCTGGTTGTTAACATAGATTCAAAATACAGTGAAAAGCCTACTTTATAAAAACCCTACCCATTGAGTGTTACCGTTTTTTTTTTTTTTTTTTTTTTTTTTTTTTTTTTATGGTGTTTTTTCACTCTGTCGACCAGGCTGGCGTGCAGTTGTGCGATCTTGGCTCACTGCAACCTCTGCCTCCCGGGTTCAAGAGATTCTCCTGCTTCAGCCTCCCGGGTAGCTGGGACAACAGGCACGTGCCACCATGCCTGGCTAATTTTTTATATTTTTAGTAGAGATGGGGTTTCACCGTGTTAGCCAGGATGGTCTTGATCTCCTGACCTCGTGATCTGCCCGCCTGGGCCTCCCAAAGTCCTGCGATTACAGGCGTGAGCCACCGCGCCCCGCCTGAGTGTTACTTTTCATACGATCACCCAGATTTGTCTCTTCAAACCACTTTAGTGCTCTTGTCAAGAGCATATCCTCAGTGAAACAAAATGTTAGAATATGTAAATGCTTACAGTTTGGGGACTTGGACACATAAGTGGGATCTGATCTCATTCCAAACACCTTGGAGAACCCTGTGAAACACTTCCTTAAGGATTTGCTTCATCTTAGAGAAGAATTTTTCCTGCTAGTCTTGATCTCTGACACTCATTGTATTGTCGCTTTCTGATAACAGTCTAGCAATGCAGTATTTCAGTGCTGTCCCTTTTAGACACATACGAAGCAGCCCTCCGATGGCATATGGAGCATTTCTATCATATTGCTTTCTTAATTTATCCAGATTCCAAGCGGTGGTCTCACGGAAATCTGCCGGAAGCCTGTCTCTCCCGGATGCATTTCGTCTGTGTCGGATTGGCTCATTTCCATCGGCCTGCCCATGTACGCCAGCACCCTCTCCACCGCGGGCTTCAGCTCCCTGAGCCAAGTGCCTTCTCTGTCCCACACTTGCCTTCAGGAGGCCGGCATCACAGAGGAGAGACACATAAGAAAGCTCCTATCTGCAGCCAGACTCTTCAAACTGCCGCCAGGCCCCGAGGCCATGTAGCCAGGCCCTGGATGGGCCTCTCTGGACCAGAGCCACCCTTTCACTGTGCAGATGATGCTGATGCAATTCCTCCATCTCTGGACATGCAGACCAGATCCAGAAGAAAGGCCTGGCATGTGGCCCAACAGCGCGAAAACTTGGCACAGGACTGAGGCGCCTCTCCTCCAGAAAAGCCCCCTCCAGGAAATAAGTGCGGTTCTCTTTGACCTCCAAAGACAGGACAAGCACTTATTGTTATTTTCGGAAGATGAGAGAACCGAGATACCAACTGGCTGCGAATGCTCTGGCTCCAGTCTGTCTCTCTGTACTGGTGGAGGCTGGGAGGTGTGGGGGGGCAGCCTGTTCCATCTCTGGTAGTGCCCTTGCCCTTCTCTCTGTCACCCTGCAGGATGCCCGAGGGCCAGACGGGCTCAGCTAGGCCAAAGGAATAGACTCAAGAGTTACTGTACATTGTTGACCACGCTCATTTGTTCAAAAGTTAGAACATCTGGCTGCACCAGAAAAAAAAAGTCCTATTCTTCTTTAGATAAACAAGAGACATTTTAATAATTGCTTTCTAGCAATCAGCTTTTATTTGCCTTAATATAAGCTTTGAAGCAGTTATCTAACTAGTGTCCACAATCCTATAACCATAGTTCCACATCTTCAGCCTAGGCTCCCATGTAACCGCTCTGGGAGATTTTCAGCAAAACTGGGCTTCTCTAACCATCTCATTGTAACATGGCTTATTTGGTATAGGTATTCATCAGCCACACACTTCATGTTGGTTTTGGGTTTTAAGCTAACTACAAATGTACTAAAAAGCTATCTGAAATTCACAAAGATATTGTGTGTGTGTGCGCGCGTGTGCGTGTGTGCGTCTGTATTCATAGTAACTGCTTTTTGTTTTAACCAGTTTAGTATTGTTACTGTGTGGGTCATTGTGCTGCAGCACTGACTTGGAATCCTGACCATGTCCATCCCGAAATTCAACCCTCAGTTAACAGATCATCTTTGTAAAAGGTCACTGTGAGGTTGCATATTTCAGAAAGATGTTCTTAAAAAGGGAGTCATTTAGAAGATGTTTTCTAAAAGTCTTTTCAGTATTGCAACTAATACTATTATCCTTTTTAAATTTAGTTCATTCTTTTAATTTAAACAAAGGTTCAATATTGGAGTCAGACGAACCACATTAGCCATGTGTTAAGTGCTTGCATACTTTAAATTGTTTTACAACTGATTCCAGCACATTCTATCTTTTTTGAGATGGAGTTTTGCTCTTGTGACCCAGGCTGGAGTGCAGTGGTGCGATCTTGGCTTACTGCAACCTCCGCCTCCCGGATTCAAATGATTCACCTGCCTCAGCCTCCTGAGTAGCTAGAATTACAGGCATCCACCACACACCCGGCTAATTTTTGTATTATTAGTAGAGATGGGGTTTCACCATGTTGGCCAAGCTGATCTCAAACTCCTGACCTCAGGTGGTCCACCCGCCTCAGCCTCCCGAGGTGCTGGGATTATAGGCACGAGCCCCAAGCCCGGCCTCTATCCTCTGTTAGCCTAGTGTCTGCCTTTCTAGCAAACAGCAAATTTAAACAAGTAAACTATTTAGGTTTCTATTGCTTACAAAATGATTTTCCTTTACATCCTTATGAACACTAAGCATCAAATGCAATCAATCATTTATAATATAAACACCTTGACCACAGGCCCTTGATTAAAAGTTTTGTAATATTTCATCTGCTTATTAAAACAGATTATTTCCCTTGGGTTGGAGGGGAAGTGATTTCATAAACTACAAAGCCATCTTTAGCATATTGCTTAGGTCTGGATCCATGTTTCTGAGGAAAAAGACATTCTCAGGTGATGTATTTTTTTCATGAATTAGTATGCATTTTTTTTTTAAAAGAAATGTGTGTTTCTTTAATAATTTTCATCCTCTGTAAGATGCCACGTGAAGAAGTTGTGGAAACGTAGAATGAAAAGCTAAAGCTGCCAGATTTCTACTGAACTCTTAAAAACAGCTCATATTCGTCTTCTCGGATTGTGGCCTAGCTTATTTGCAATGTAACGAAGCTGCAGGGTTCTCGTATTGCTAAAGTGTTCAGTGCGTTTCACGTGCTGTGGTGGAGGTGGGTGCTGTAGACAGGCTTCTCTTCCTGCTTCCAGAATACCTCGGCTTGACATTCGAACAGATCCTGTCATTGTTTAAGCTGAGCAAAAAAACCACACACAAAAGTCGTGTAAGAGGTAACAAAGGAGAGGAAGAAATCTCATTTCCAAGTTTTACTTCATTCCCAGTGAAGGATTTTCGTGTAAGTGAAAGTCGCAGCAGAAGAGGGAACTTTCTGGAGATTTTGAGAATGCCAAACCATATTTTTATCACCCTTTTTTGGAAATCAATGCCTTTGCATAGAAAATCAAATTCAGGGACCACAAAGATTTTTCAGTGGGAATGTCTAGTCTGAGGGGTCTGAGGTTGTTTTTACTTTGTTGTGTTGTTTTAAATATTTTTAAAAATATCTTTAGTGTTTGGTCTTTTTTTTTTTTTCTTTAAACGTTTAATTTGGTCTGAGAAAAGCTGAATGTTTGGGTGTGGCGTTTGACTGAGGTGGTCTGGGACTGCCTGTGGACGTCAGTGAACAGGTGGTAGGCTTCAGCAATACCCAGTTTTAATCAGTTGCATTTGGTACAGAATTTTGAGTAATGGTGAAAATTGTTGTCTTTGGAAAGCACAAAAGAAACCTGGAAAGGCAGTTCGGCTCAGGTAGCTACACATAACATTGTGTATCATTTTCACTTCAAAGCTGTCTGGAATGAAATGCAGTCAGCTTCAACTAGTACAATTTACGTACCCAGATAACCAAGATATTGTTTCATGGCCTTGCCTTAGTCAGAGGCCCTTTTCTCTGTCCTGACACCCCACCTCCGCCCGTATGGGTAAAATTGGAAATTACTAACCTATTGGAAACCAGTTCCTGACATAGTCAAGTTTGCTTTCATAACTGCGGCAAAACAAATCAACTCACCAAGTCACTGCTGCCATGCGTGTACTGTATTATTTTCAGAAAAAAATATAATAGTCCGAGTCCAAGTTATCTTGATCTAAAATTGATAGAGAAAAGAAACTGTCGAGCAAGTTATATAACAACTAACAACATTGCACTTTCTGTATATGAAATCAATATTTAAATAACTTATTTTTCTCCATTGCTGTTCTTAAAAACATTGTAAGTAGCTGTAATATACCAGTACCAATATGTTCTTGCAATTGCTTCAGCCCAAGAAAGCTGTGTATTGTTTTAAAAATTGTAAAAATTATTGTGATGATTCATTTAGCATAAAGAGAGGTGGACAGAAGGGTTTTCCTATGTATCAAAACTTGTCTATAATTATGTCATCTATGTACCTAGAAAACAAGTAAATAAATTTCTTCACTTGAATATGCTTTTTGTGTTGTTTCTTGGGTATTTTAAAGATGAATGGAGTAGAAATGAAAGGGAATTTATAAAGCGATCAAATAATGAAATATATTGGGAAAATTGTGGCTGTATGTAATTCTGCCATATCACCAGAAATCACCCTCTGACATCCACCCAGATTCTCTTTACCGCTTTATTGCTTTGTTTTCAAATATGCATAATTGAGTCATATAATGATAGTACCTTAGAACAAGAAGATATTTTTTGGAAGTCATCTTGAGTCTGAGATCATCATTTTCAAATGAAGAATCTGAGTCCACATGGATATTGACTTGCTCATATAGACATATATGACACCACCACCCACATCTATGGAGAAAGAGAAAAAACAAGTCTAGGTCTGGATATTCTAGAAATTAATCAACTTGACAATAACCGGTTTTTAATGGCAGTGTACCACAATTGATACAAAGACATATTTTATAGGGAGAAGAGGGTGTTTGTAATAAAAAATTTTGAGGGGTAATGTATGCATTTGAGAAACTATTAAAAAATCACCCTCTTCTTCCCCCCCAGCCATCCCATTCATTCTTACAGGCAACCTGCTGTAACCAGTGTTGGCCTGTCTTTTCAGAGAAACTCTTTTGTATTTATAAATATAATTGCATATGTATTTCTCCATACAGAAATGAGAGCATATTTTTCATGCTCTTCACCCTACTTTTACATTAACATATCTTGGAGGCCCTTCCATGTCAGCATTCTCCCACTCCCTTAAAGGCTGCGTAGAATTCTATCATGCAGGTCATTTATTTAACCAGTACTCAAAGTGCACCCTTCTGCTGTTACGGAAGAGAAAGCTATCATAGATATTCCTATACCTATATCACATGCATGTGGAATTGCCGTATTAAAGTTATGTATGTGTTTTACGGTTTGATAGACTAAGGTGGGTTTCATTAAAGGAAGCTTAATGTAGGTTTCCCTTTTAAGTCATCTTACTCCCAATTCCTCCCCTCCATTTTGTGAATGGGGATATTTTATGTATTCTAGGAGTGGGTGTTCGCCTGACTGCTGCATCATTTTAAAGAACTAACCATAAACCTCAGATCTTCCCAACCCCTCGCTAACTCCTACGATTCAATAGTTCAAAGAAGATACTCTTTCTTATGATTCCTAGGAAAACCTGGCCGGAGTCTTGGTATTTCTTGTAACCTCTCTTCGTATGTAGATACCTAGGTTGTATTCACTTATAAAGAACATGAATTTGATTAGGGAAAAAAGAAAAGAGAAGGGGGTTGGTTGTTATTGTTCAGCCACACAATTCATTTTGGAACCCTCAGAATTATGACTGTCTTCACTCTTAGCTATGAGGACCCTCAGAGCAAACTGTACACTGCTTCCTAGGGCTTAGAGTGTGTGTGTGTGTGTGTGTGTGTTTCTGTGTCTGTGAGAGAGAGGGAGGAGAAGGAGGAGGGAGGAGGGAGAAAGGAAGAGAAGATGAATGCTCACTCAGGTGTAGGTCTGAACCTCTCATCAGGGAAACCTGGGCACCATTATTTGGAAGTATTCCAATTCCCCCTACAGCGCCCCTCCTACATGACTTCAGAGAAGAATGCTCCAAAAAGGGTGTTAGCTGTCACCTCCTGCACACTGTAACAAAAGCACTGGAAGACCCTCACCAAACTGATTTTGAGTTCAATCTGGAAGGATCCCAGGGTACTGGTGTGAGAGCCACACCAGTTAGACTAATCCGGTTGGATTTTCACCACCATCCCCATTCATCCTCAATGGACTTTCCCCAAAACTTGGATGATGAATACGATTGGAGCCATAAGAGAGATGTGTACCAAGGGCTAAGGGAGGATGGATTCGGCCTGAGGAGAGAGAGGGCCAGAGAAGGTGGTTATACGGATAACAGTGTGCTGTGTCCCACGCATCAGACTTGGTTAGAAACACAAAAGTCTTAGAAATAACAAGCAAATCATTAAGCAACATCCTCTATGGCTCCAAACTCCTGATCCACCTGGCCCTCAGCCTAACCGAGTCTCCCCGATGTCATAGAATAATGGAAACCCTCCGTTGGGCCTCACTTGCAAACACCCAGGCATCCTCATCTTGTCTTTCCTCGTGGCTCCTGCCATGCCCAAGGAGGAGTTTCTCCATTCATCTAACGCTACGTAGCTCAGGATGCTGTCCTGGGACTCCCAGCCCCTCATGTACTCCCTCGCTTCTCTGTACCTTCCCTTGAACATGCTTGCAGCAGGTGATGCTGTGCGCTTCTGCCAGCCCACGGTCCTCTGTTTTGATATTGACACTCTCCCTTGGGGAAGACGGTGCTCCCACATCTCAAGTCATTCCTGGCATCACTTTCCCGTCACGTGTCCCCCAGCCTCCTCCAAGCAGAACACAATACATGCCCAGCTAAAAGTGTTCACCACTCTTTCCTTTAAAAAATTCTCTTCCCAACCCACGTTTTCCTTGTCTACATAATCCACTCTCTTGCTTTTCACAGCCAAATATCTTGAATGATGTTTCTTCTATTGTCTCTTCTTCCCTATCCTCCATATATTCCTCAGCCCACTGTTCCCTGGACAGAAGCAACATTGCTAAATCCAGTGCGGCCTCCCCAGCTTCCACCTCCTTGTCTTCTCTGCAGCGTTGCATGCAGCTGCCCTTTGCTCCCACCTCCCCTTCTCCATCTTCCCCGTTCCCCTCTTGCCCTCTCCCGTCCCAACAGCCACTGCCTCTCAGCCTTTTGGCAGCCTTTTTCTCTGTCCACCCTTTGAATGTTCAGGGGCCTCAGACTTCCATCCCAGGGTCTCTTCTCACCCTTGGTGATCTCTCCGTGGTTGACTTTTCATCTCCAAGAGTTAAAGGAGCAATCCCAGACATCTGTCACCAAAGAAGAAATGTAGTGCTTCCATCTAAGAGGATGCTGATTACAGTGAGAACACACCACACAGTAAGGTGCTGCCTCAGCTATTTGCTCGTTAGACTCCCCATGCATCCTCAAGCACCAGCTCAATTTTGGTCATTATTGTAGTGTCCTTGAGCTGGGTGTTCTTGAGCTGGGTTTAATATCTAGGCTGCAGAATAAAGCCAAAGAAGAAAAATCAGAGGCAGGTATTCTGCTGTGCAGGCAACATATTATTCTATAATTTCTGGTCTTTGGGACCATCTTCTAGTCTTGGGGAGTCAGTTCTATAGTTTCTGTGTCACTGGAAGGCTGTCACCCAAAATGTCCTCTAGATTCTTATTGGTCAGTCCAAATATGTGACACAAATTGTCCTCCAATGGGTAGGAAGCAGGGAAAGGGTGGAGAGGTCAGCTATTCACTGGGCAAATCACTACACCGAGTGCCTGAGGCAATGTGTACACTTAATTCATTCAGTGAACACTAAGTAGGCATTTATTCTTATCCCCGTCTGACCAGAATGTAGAGTCCCTGAGCACGGGGACTTTGCTTATTTTCCAATCCCAGCACCGGGAACAGCCTGACACGTGAGGAACTGAAAAAGAAAATATTGAATAACAAGGCTCTGAGAAGCTAAGACACTTTTCAGGCTGACAAGTAGCAGGACGGAGATTTGAACACAAATCCACCTGACTCTAGAACACGCATTCTCTATGAGATGAGAATTACCTCCAGTAACAGCTCTCCCTGAATTTCCTGAACTTTGCACATTCACTTCTCTCTCATCACAAATCAATGTCTTAAACTTTATCGACACATCCCACGTGAAATGTCTGGTGGGCCTGCAGATCTCTGCCACATCTGCCTCAGTTTCTCCTCTCAACAACCTCCAGTTACTGAGTTCAGACTTAATCCTACTTGACTTCTTTTTCCTTCCACACTCTGCATTCAACCTGTCAGGAAATCCTGTGGTCTCTGTTTTCAAAGTCTCCCCAGAATCTGACTATCCTTCGCTGTCCCCACTGCTACCAGACCAGCCCAATCCACAGCCACCACCCTCACCTTGATGCTCGCTGTGGCTTCCTGCTTTTTTGCCCCTATCTCCCCCACCCTTGTGATCTAGCTCATACAGTAGCCTGGGTGACCCTGTTAACACTTGAATCTCCTCAAAATTCGTATGTTGAAGCCCCAACCTCCACTGTGATGGTATTTGGAGGTGGGGGTCTTTGGAAGATGATTAGATTTGGATGAGGTCACACGGGTGGGGCCGCATGATGGGATTAGTGCCCTTATAGGAAGAGGGAGAGACATCAGACCTCGCTTTCTCTCTCCACCATGTGAAGACACAGCAGGCAGGTAGCCAGCCATGTGCAAACCAGAAAGAGGTCCCTCACTGGGCTTTCTTGAACTCTCCAGCCTCCAGAAGTGTGAGGAAATGTTTGCTGTGTAAGTTACCCAGTCTATGGTATTTTGGTTTATAGCAGACTGAGACAGACCCTGTGAAAACACCAGGCAGGTCATGCCGCTCCTCTGCTCAAAGCCCCCAGTGGCCCCGTTTCTTCCAGAGTCAAGGGCGAATCCTTTGCAGTGGCCCAGCAGATTCTGTGTAACCATCTCTTGTGAGCTGCTGGCCTTCCTGCCCATCGTTACCCTTCGGCCCTCTGATTCAGCCACACAGGCTTTCTCCTTGGCCCACAAGGTTATCAGACAGCTCTCACCTTGGGCCTCTGCAGGCTTCCCTCCACCTGGAAGGCTCTTCTTCAGAAAGACCCCGTGGTTTTTCTTTTGCGTTTCTCCTGCAGGTCTTTGCTGAAAGGCCGCTTTTCAGGGCCTGGCCTGATTCCGTCACCGGAAACCGCCCTTTGCCTGGACCACAACGCTCAAGTCTCACACCTGCGCCATTTTCCACCTGGCGTTCATTCTCACCTTTAACACCCTGTGGCCTCTTTAGGTTTATTGCTTATTACCTGTCTACCTTGCTGCAGTTTAAGATCCAGAAATGCCCAGGTTTGCTCCCTGGTGACCCTGAACCCTCTCCACTTGATACACTGTATTTGCTAAATGAGTGACTATCCCAGAATGACCAGCTCTTGGATCCTGAACGTGAA